TATAAACATCATTGTAATGTGCCTCACTGTTTCTGCTCCTACTGCCTGGTTTGAAATAAAGATGAGGAAATAAATGGGGTTTTAGGTAACTTTGTTTCTGATCGGCATGTTTGCAGCAGAAAACACATTTCCATAAAGCTTTAAAGCAACTGGAAACTTTCTCCCATTATTACACTTTAACACATTCTGTTGTTGCATATGCCCTTGTAGCCAGTATTTACGAAAATACTTGATGTAATTTTTATTGTCTGCTAAGGTGGTTTTGTGTTTCAGTTTGAGCGACCAGTCGTTTCATTTTATGCGGGACAGCAAACCTTTTCATCTCCCACATTTTCATTGGTTGTAGTTACAAATAAATAAAAAGTACAGGACATGTGTGCTGATCTGCAAATGCTTCACTGCTTAAATTTATAGTTGATTCCTGCAGAAAAGCAGTTTATAGCTTCAGCTGTTACTGTGCGAGAAAAGCTTAAATGAATAAAGACAATATATGGTTATTAAACTTGTTTTATGCTTATGATCAACAACAAACCTTTAACAGATGTAGTTTGTGCTTTCACACATTGTTAAGAAACCTTCATCTGGCTTTAGATAACAGGAACCATTGGAAGGATTCTGTAATTTACTCCCTCTGTGAGTACTAAAGATTTGGTGCAGTTTAGTGCATGTTTGTCAAGTGTACATGAGGAAAATTTGGAGCTGAAGTCATTTCACACCCATATTTGTTTATTCTCCAGCTGTTCTTTTCCTCTGCATCTCCATTCAAACACCAGTAAACGCAGGCTGTATTGTAAAGTGTTCGAGCATGTTTCAGTTCCACATAGACGAGTCCAGATTTGCACTTAAGCCTGAGGTCACCTTCAGAAAAATTGCTGTTTAAGGCCTCTAGTCCAGTTTTAGCTCCATACACTCACCCTACCTCTTTTTGTCATGCGGTTGTATTATTTCTAGTTGTTTGGGTTAAATTGCCTTGAAGCCTGAGTGCTGTATCAGGTTTTCAGCTGTTTGTGTGTTAACTTTAAAAATGTCACTCTTTCAACCACAAATTATTTTTTGATGGATTTCTTGGTCGTGTCCATATCGGTGGTGCCTGCAGGAGTATTTTAAGGCACGGCAAACCACACATACGGGGCAGATTTTTTTTTTAAGTATATAGCGAAGTTATGTTTGGCAACGTGGGACAGCCTCCGAAAGAAGGGAAAAAAAGTGGGGCGGGTAATGAAATTTCATACAATGACATCACTTTTCCTCCAACCCAAACACTTAAACGGCGAGGCAGAGGAGGAGAGCGGCCGCTGCTGGGGGAGCAGGACACCGCCGCAAAAATGAGCCCAAGGTAGAGATTTTAAAGAAAAGAAGAAAAAATAGTATAGTTTTATCTTTACCGGACATGGCAACACAGCGGCAGTTTCCATCCAAATGAGGTGAGTTTTTCAAAAACGGAAAAACGCCGTTTCATGTGCTGAAATGCTCGGCTGGCCGATGGGTTCGCAGGAATACCGACACTGATCCGTTTG